CAAGTTAAATAGAATGTTCCACTGTACGTCCTACATCGCTCACGCGCTGCGACTCGTCCGCGACTCTGCCTTCTTGCCGCGCGGGCGGGGAACGGCCCCGGGGGTACCCGCAGAAAGTGGTCCCATTTTGCGGGTTCCGTGCCATTTCACATGGCTTCTTCTTCATCACTGCTTCATTCACCACTTCTCCCGTTACTTTCAATGAGCTACCTTTTCAATGTAGAATCCACCTCCAAGTTCAGTCACAAGTAAGTGCCGAGATATGGCTTCGATTCGCTAAATTTGACAAACTTTTTCAGAACCATATTTGTTATCTCCATTTTATTACCACATCTACCACAATTTTCCACAACTCCTGCCCTCTACTTACCGGAAAGTGGAGGATAACTCTCCCAGAATTACTCACCGGTGAAGGCATTCAACTTTCCATTGAACTTTGAATTAGGACCTCATATATCGATAGAGCTTCAAACGCTTATGACAAATCGTGGAAACTTCGTAAATGTATGCTAAAATGAACCTGCTACGGAAGTAGTGAGGAGTCAAGCGGCTAGAAGTAAGGCGTTACGTATGAATCGTGCTAGTGTAGGGCATTCAGATTCGCCGGGAGGATAGAGGCAGCGCTCTCAAAATTTGCACTCCAACTGGAGGAGACTCATGACCTACCGGCTGAAGGGGGAGGGCACTACCACCACTGCACGGCGACTCCACATGCTCAGACGCTAGCGCGATTTATATGCGACACTTTACTCCCCACCGACTTTGATGCTCATAACTTTCTTGAACTTTCATTTTGCAGTTTCAGTTGCCATATTTATGCGTTTGAGCTCTACCGATATATCTAGGTCCTGATTCAAAGTTTCATAGGATCTTGAATGCCTTCTCTGATCAGTGTTCAACGCGAAGATTAACTGGACGTCCGTTTCCAGATAATCGCGGTCAGTCGCATTTTTCCAATTCAGGAAGCCATGCTAGAGTAACAACTGCTTGATTGCTGACGGTAATACGCCAATGAATTATGGACAGTGAGGGAACATTCAGTGAGCCCAAGTACCATACAATGGTTGACATTCGTCGTAGACACGCGTGTTCGCGAGTTGGGGCGTAGTGAAATAGTGTCATCTACTGGAGCCCATAACTTTGCACATTCCTAGCAATTCCACGCAGCGCAAGCAACAAGTGTATGAAGCAGTAGTGGTATCCCTTGAAGTCCGTAACGATGCAATCCAATAATCGGAGAGAGGGGAACCTTTGCGACAGCGAACTTGTCTTTACTAAGCAGCATGTTCCTACTGATTCTCGTAATAACTTCGTATAGCATCATGCATTCTAACGCCAGTGACCCTATGTCAAGGTTCAAATCGAACACGACTGTGCGACAGCGAATTCTCGGTGATGGCTTCGCACGTGTTCTCCGAGCAACCTCGTCCAGCTCGAGTGGGATTTCATGTTCTCAACTTTCACAATTTCCCCATTCTTCGAAAAGCACGGCTCACGCTGCTCCGCGAGGAGTGGAGGTCCAGTGCAATTCGACGGGTACTGGTGTACGGATTGTCTTCAAGGAGCTATTGAATGCGTTCAGTATCTACGGTCAAGGATGTAGCCGTTGCAGAACCGTATCACTTCCGACTGATCCTCTCTTTCAATGTGCTTGGTCCTTCTAGCTCCGCGATTACTCTGATAGCCTTCCTCGTTAAATACCCCATACGAAACTTGTAAAGTAGACACTGACGAACAGAGTTGAAATGTACGGGGTTTTTCTGCCTGACGATACGACGGTGGATCGTCGTAGTATGAAAGAACTAGGGTCGACAAGTACTCTTCAATGTTAACACCACGGCACGGATACGAAAAAAGTCGACACTTTACTATGACTCTACTTAATAGAACGATGAAATTATCTGCCTTCACCAGCCTTTTTATTGAGATGCGCCATGTATTCGATTCCCATTCAAAACTCGTACTAAAAGGGGTTAGCGTAGTTCTGAAGACTAGTATTAACAGGCCAATGACGAAAACTGATAAGATAAATTAACTCGCTACTCAGAGCGTCAACATGATAGTTTTGACATAGCTCACGACCACGGACATCATGACATGTTATAGATTTTTTTATTGTGTACCGAGCTACAAACGATATGAACAAAATTGTATTCCTCGACCTTCATTCGTTCTGCTGCTTATTTGAAGAAATCAACTGCCGAGGCTTGTCAACTTTTGTGAAAGCACACGGTAAACGGGCTCCATCGCGTTCCCATTCTCAGTAGTAATGGCTCCAGCTATTTAAAATAATTGATTTTGATATCAACATTGACCGATGCCGTGCCCCATTAGGCGAAAAAAAGCAGAGACAATGAAAATCAAGCAGTACAGCGCACGAATAGTTTGTGGATGGATTAGAAGCTACTGAAATTTTAGCACGTTTACATGCCATGGGAATCCAAGAATGGAAAAAATGGCTGCCAGATTGGCCAAATCACCCCCTCCCCGTGGTTAATTTGGCCGAATATGGCAAAAAAAAATCTCAAAGACACACTAGAGCCGTTCGGAAGCCCTTTTAACCCCTGGGTATTTATCGAAAATAGCACCTTCTGATTACCACTTGCTCAGATCGATGCAGCACAAACCAGGTGACACACGATTTCAAAAAGTTAGAGAAGTGCAAAAATGTGCTGATAAATTGATTTCTCCAATACTGAAATAGTTTTGTTGCAACGGCATCACCCATTGTTAGTAATTGCGAAATTGTTCGAAAAAAAATATTGAAATACATGTTTAACAGCAAGAAAAACTGCCAGCATTGGGTTAACCATAGAAAACAATTTAAATCATGTTGGAGTCGCAGAGGAAAGTTGAGAACTTTATCTCGTCATATAGTACCATTCAGGAGACCCAAAAACTTTACCGGCGAGAGCGGGCTCTTTTGCCAACAGACCATGTATGGGCAGCACTCCTCTACGAGTTTAACTATGCACAAAATGCTTTTGTACAACCACTGCAACGATTTGGCAATAAGCAACTGATGGAAACCCGTATAGGTTAATATTATTATATTCGGGGTAAAAGAAAACCTACCAGAAAAGAATGCTAAGTTTTTGAGCACAAGATGTGATGCTACCACAACCTAATCAATTTGACGTGCTCCTACTCCTTCCGATTAAGCCACATTATCACTCTCTAGTAGAAATTCAGGCACTTGATTAATAAAGAAGTCAAATTAAATTCAAAAGGACAACCTTTACATGGTACAACCTTTGTACTGTGAGGCTTAAATCACTGCAGGATCTTACAGTGACGCTTGCTGGCTTACTGATGTCCAGCACTCTGGTGTTATCAGTCACCTAGCCAACGCAACTTATGGAGCATGGATGGATAAGAAAAGGTCCACACAAAAATCGCTACAACAACTACTGCGGCGACGGTTCATGCCGCGTGACCTAATTAGCTCACAATTCAAGGGTGTCCCCCAAGAGGCCCGTCGCGCGGCGAAGGAAGAGACGCAGATGCGGCAAAGGACGAGTCGCAGCGCGTGCTGTGCGATATGAGACGTAGTATGGTACACTCTATTTAACCTGACGCCTAACCGCTACAGTATGCGCTGCGACTCGTCCTTTGCCGCGTCTGGGCCTCTAAGGGCACACCTCACAATCCAGTTGACGGTCTACCGAGATTCTCCTGTACCTCGTAGATGAAACCATCTTAAGCCTATGAAGAAGACGAAACGGTCGAAAGGTAAAACCAGACAAATGATTCCATCATAGAAACCACGTTTAAGAAACAATACATAACAATCACGGTACATACGACACAAAATGCCGAAATTTCAATAAAGGACGACAAGGAGATCCCAATGAGATTTTTTGAGTCCTCTAGCCATTGGAAATCATTGATAGTTCATAGTTTTCATTTCTATATTTTCCATTCTCTTGCAAGGAATCCATTCAAACCCATATGAAGGAATATAAAGCTGACCTAAGTTTGACAGCAGAGAATATGCAAACCGACAACTCTAACTCTTGCTTTGCAACTCTTTCAAGACATATGCCTACAAGAAAACAAAATAAATCCCATCACACCTTGTCGAGCGATGAGATCAGCGTCCACCACATGAATTCCGTGACTGCGGAACATCTCCGACACAGAGCTTTTGCCAGTGGCGATGCCACCTGTCAAACCCACGATCACCATCTGAACCATAAACCAGTAAAGTGCTGCTAAGTAAGCAGAAACTCTTCTAACCGTCTAGTAGATAGAAAGCATGCAAGCAACGGCACAGGTCCGTAAGAAAAACACCATCAAATATTTGTTATATTCATTTTCTTCGCAACAATGTTCAAGAAATTCACTTTGTGATGAGGAAGACATTCGAGGAAAACCAGGGATACAGTAGCATTCCTCGCATTGAAATTTCACCTCCATTAACTATACATATACATACAGACAGGAGGCGCACAAACGGTGAACCAGACACATACAATCGCTACATGGTTCACCCGCAAGAAAACAAGAAGACGAGAGAAAAAAGGAAAATATACGGAACATCTGCTTCTGGTTGTAATGAATGGATGGATGATAGTGTGGGGTAAAGAGAATCCAAGATAAATAATAATAATTTGTATTTGGAAATCACTACGAGGATTTTTGGGTATCAACAAAGGACTTTTGGGAGGCATGAAGGCCGTTTGAAATGCCATGAAAAGAGGATTTGGAGATGGAGTATCAGGGTGAAAACCGCGGATCATCCAAAGGAGAGACGATCCGCAAGTCTTAAGGTATATATTTTGTGAAACATAACATAATATCGTAGTAGAAATGATCATAATAACTCATAATGAGGTAATTACGAGATGCTTCTTCATAGCAAGGCGAAAGCGAATTCCGCAGAGATTCGGTCGAAGCATCCACGTGCGAACAATGTTTGTATTTATGAACGACAGATGAAACAGACGAACCAGCTGACTAACTGCCTGACTGATCAGCAATCAGATCAGGACCACGGGTCACTTTCCCATGCCACCGGCGCCTTGTACCGAATTCGATCCACTTATCGGAGGCATCATAAAACGAGCCAACAGATTCGCCGTCGAATTGCCAGCCAAGTATTGTTGTTGACTATGTTGCGCTTGCGATAACAGAAACGATGTTATCAGAGGATCCTGGGAAAATTCTTATTAGTTAACAGCTGAGAACAGCGGAAGAAGAACTCGACTACTCACCATAGCGTTCCCCGTGCCAAGCATTTGATTACCCCTCCCAAGAAAACCTCCATTTATCAACGGGTTTAGGGCGGCTAGCCGTTCCGGACTGATGTTTGCAGTCAGATCCGCGGACACCACCGGTGCAGACGAGGTGGCAGTCAAAAGTTGCGGCTGTGACGTTGACGTAGTCGTCAGCGTTGCAGTCGAAGGTGTCGCGGAAGCAGAAGAAACGCCAGCGGTTGTCCTGAAATTCCACAAGATCAGATATATCAGTAGCTAAGGCATTAATTCACATTGCAGATAAACGTCTACACAACGATTTCTGAAATAGTAAAAACCAATATGTACTGTAGGAATAAAAATTAACATATTCGCAGGAGTTATAAAATAGCTTTAAGCTTTCCTGGAGCAAAGAAAGAAATCTCAACTCCAATAGGTACCACTGCTACGGACGGAATTCAAATGCCAATTTGATTATATTTTCATTCGGATTCATGCCCCAAATTCCCCATTTCATATAGGGCTTTGACAATATTTTATTATTAATGTGTACGAAATTGACATTATTGTAAAACACGAACGTGTTTACTATGTATATATGAATGAATGTGGCACGTAATAGTCTGCAGGTAACTACACCATTTGATAATGATACAACCATTTAACTTAGAATATGCCTTCATGAGATTTTCTTACACACTCTCTAATGAGATCCAAAAACCCACACCGCGCACTCACACGCTCAAAACTAAGCGACGGCGAAAACATGTTGAAGTAACCTGTTACAATGAGAAATCGAACTCAAGAAGCTCTCCTCAGAAACCAAGCCAGTTTCAAAAAAGGCTGCATGAGCCGTCAACAACTACCAGGAAGGTCTTTCAGGACATGGAGCCCTTTTTGAAAACGGTTTTTTGCATGATAAAGGGGCACATGCATGGAGTACAAAACTAGGCTCCATTTTTTCTGAGCGGCCCTGTGAGTGCCAAAAAAGGTATGAAAAATTGGTCGAGGGATCGGTCCCGGCTGATGACAAAATTTTGCATTTCATGTTAGCGCATGTTAAATGACTCCAAATGTTGCCGCCGATAAAAATAGGTACTGTTCTTACAATCAGGGTCATCATCAACCTTTCTGATTAGCTTTCTGCCCAGAATTGGGGCGAAAATTGTACTGGCGCTAAAGCTGCGCCGAGTGGGCCCGAGACGCCCAATTGCGACAATCGCTCCTCTACAAAAATGACGTCAGATTCGTACAGCCGCCTATAAAATACCTCCTTAAGCGCCGCATTAGAGAAGATCAAAGATTCGCCAATCAAATTGGCCATGGGTTAGCCCATAGTCAGTACGGCATGCACGCTTCCCACTTGAAGACAGCTTCGAGATGATAGCAACGACACGTTTGGTTGATAGTTACACTTCCACCGCAGTTCCTGCCCATGGGGCAATCTGGCATCACCCCTTGATCTCGTCGATGCATGGCGTATGCCTGGGTGGGCACTGGCATACGTCGACGAGCATCCTGGACGTTCCTCAACGCCGGCAATCTGCCTTCAAGGGAAATGGAGTGGGTGTTCCTTGCGAAGAAAATGGCAACTTCACTTTTCTGGCGTTCGTTAGATGCAGTCGGTGTGATCTGCGCCTGTGATTCAGATACTTCATTGAGTTTTACCATATCTGCTAGTTATTTTATTGCTTGTAAACGGAATTTCGTACACAACTGAAAAACATGACTACGAAAACGCGAATTGGGGCGAAAGTACATAAAGACACTAATATTCTCCAAGTCGCGTCGCGCGCACGTACAAATGCAGAAAAGTGATAATCGGAAAAATGCAAAACTCCGAGCACGGAGGGGAACCGAACCAACAACTTCGAACAAACCGTGCCAACCAGAGTCCATCACGCTATCCACTCGACCATCCGACCACCGCTGTACAATGAATGTCAACGACTCTGATGAAACTTCCTTGTGCTTTTGAGCACTTATTATATACAATTTTTGATATTGGCTTTAAATTCCACGCTGTTTTCAACGTTCAGTGAAGGAAAACCTTCTATTGTGCGTCCACTTAACATACCGAGTGATATAAAGAACGTTGAAGGTGTGAAAACTCCGATTTCTGAAGAAATTTTTTTCACTCCTTTTTTGGCATCCAGAGGGCCGCTCAGAAAAAATGGAGCCTAGTTTTGTACTTCCATGCATGTGCCCCTTTATCATGCAAAAAACCGTTTTCAAAAAGGGCTCCATGTCCTGAAAGACCTTCCTGGTAAGCTTCTCTGCTCTCACGAAACTAACCCTTGGAATGGAACATTACAAACCAGGCTCTCAATCTTCCAAAGAGATAGAAGGAAAACTATCTTCACAAGTCCCGTCTACAACTTACAAATGTGACCGCATGCGTCAAACTTAACAAGCAACAACTAGCTACGACATCGGTCCCAAAATGGGTAACATGAAAATAATATAAAGAACAAATGATCCAACTGGACTAAAAATAAAATTTAAAAACCGTGCTCATTCATTCCACAAATTAATAAACTGCAGCTCAATCCATCACTGTTAAAAGCGAACATCTGAAACGTGTGGTTTTACACACTCACGATCACGCTGATCTCACCATAACGACATGGCATTCATTCATGGCGCATACTCGGCGACACGACCCAACAGTGGGCCATTCTATGTGCCAATGGTTACACATCCATCATCTCTGACACCCACTGATTGTAACTAGATATTGGATAGTTCTACGAAGTGGCAACATATTGCCCACGATAAAGTTACTAGGGGGATGAATGGATCTCCTACTAAAAATTCTCTTTAGAACAAAAAAGGGCGTTATCGCAAGATACGGGGCCATTGTAGTTGCAACGTGATTAGAACCATAAAAACATCTCCTCTAGGCGAGGAAGGAGAGTCCATGGTCATGAGCAATTTCCATTTCCCCAGAATTTCTCGCCTTCTTTTCTACGATTAGTCCCCCAGGATGCCCCCCCCCCATCTTGCGGTACAGCTCCAAGAAGTACATTCATGATTATTTCGGAGTGCCTTTCGTCAATTAACGTATAGATGCCAAGTACAGAATGTCACCTTTGATTACGTCCTTTTCACCCGAAGTTCATATAAATATACTCAACGATTTATGCGCAATGATTTCAGCTTATAAAGAATAGATAGTGAGATAACTACAGATCTTTCCGCTTAGCGCTTCTGCATTAGTAATTTATGTATTCGACTAATAGATTTGATGGCGCTTATTTCGGCCTCTGTTTCTTCCGATCAAATGTTTATGGTAGTGCCACTTGCAAATTGCATGGAAACTGCGAGCAACACATATGATTCGGGATTATATTGGGCTCAAATTACGTGAACACTTTATGTAGGGCGCAGCACACATACGTTTTTGACAGCCAACCTTTAGTTTTCAACTGACTTAGCTGTTAGAACAGCAGGCATTGGTCGAGTGACTTTGAGGAACCGTAAATCGTTGAAATGGATGTGATGAAGATTTCAATTGTTGAATTTCATTAGATGAGAAAAATGTACGGCCACAAAATTTAGAGGAGACGTTCAATGGAGAGGTGAACACCAATGTGCGCACCCGACGACGAACAAGTCAGATGAACTCCGGTATGTACACCCTGTGATGCGCGCGGAGGTGCGTTAACACGCCTAGAACAGCTCGTTGAGCATTTACTTGGAATCCTCTTTTGGAAAAATTTTCTCAAGCCGTCGCTACCACTTCAACAATTCCGTTACCGAGTATGGATGTACTGTTTTCCGAAGCAGATTACGCTTATGGACAATTTTCTATAAAAAAAATGCCAAACAAATTGAGCAAAACAAATCGTCTGCGGGAAAATGTGACGCGCGTGCGCGTCGGGCTAGGATCAATGATTAAAACCGTCTTTCTATAATCAAAATAATAAGTAACAAGACGAGACCGTGGAGAACTTTACAAAAAAAAACCGAAAAAAAAACAAAAAACGGCAATGATTTAGAAGCTTTTTTGCATACACAAATTACTTCCCTCTCGGTTCATAATTACACGATGAATAAATATAGATGGGACACACTAGAAGGTCAAGACAACTCCATCACAGCCTGTATTGATCAGCCTAGCTACGCCACGCATTCTTTTCCCCATCTAGTTATAAGGGATATTTACTGACTTATTTATTTAGCTACTGTTTACAAATGAAGTACAGAAATATATGATATATTTGAGTGCAATTTTGCCTACACAATGACCTGCAGGACCACTCTTACAAGCCACTGTTTTTATCATCCCATACAAGTCCGGTTGCGAACCCTACACAAGGGAAATGGTGAACTCGGTGGACTTCTGTGCAAATCGATCCGAGATTTAACCCCGGGACCTGTACGAGTATGCAGCTTCATCTGCTACACCAACTTCTTCACGAAAAAAAAGTTATGAAAATGAAAAAAATGCTTTAACACATACATATCCATAAAAAATATATCAATATCTCACCTGCTTTGGACATGAGGGACGAATCCTGGGCCACTGTGCTGAGACGTGCCGAATGAGGAGGTAGACGGTACAGCGGAGGCCTGACTAGGTGGTCGACCGGTCGGACGAGGAGTTCCACTGGCCAGCGAACGCAACTGGGTCAATGAGTCTTCCACTCCAGCTGGCGGTACGGAGGTAGACGCCACCACTATCGGAGAGTGATGTGGACTAACGAGGCTTGTCGGTACTGGGCCTTGCGGAAGATGGTTCATCGACGGTGTCTGTTGCATGAGGTGCTGCTGCTGCTGTTGTTGGTGTTGCTGCTGCTGCTGTTGTTGTTGTTGTTGCTGCTGCTGCGCTTGTTGT